TAATTCTTCTTTTTCTGAAACACTCGACATATTTAACAATAACACGCTGCAGTTTGTAAAAACGTTAAAGGCCATCACTTAAATTAGAACTGTATGCACTAACTTGCGGCGTTCACGCCGAAATTCCCCACTTTGAATGCATTTTTTTTCTTTCTTTCTAGCAATTGGTGTTGGCGGTAGTACCCTTAAGCTTATCGTATGTTGTGACTTTGTGTTTACTTTTTATAATTTTTAAGTGTATTTTTCTAGGGCTTGTCCGTTGTTTGTGTTGTCCGTACTATTGCTTTATACCCTGTTCTGCCTTACATGTTAACACAGTGCACCTGTACCAAGACCGCAAGGTTGTTCCCGGGCACGAATAAAAACATTGATTGATTGATTGATTGATTGATTATTATTATTATTATTATTATTATTATTATTATTATTATTGGTGTATCTTACCATGGACAAATTATTACTGGTGTATCTTGCCATGGACAAATTACGACAGACAATCAAGAAAAATCTTGTTTAAACAGTGCCTATCTCCCAAACATGACGGAAAAAGACCTACATACGCTGCTATTTAGCTTCCGGCCTCACAAAACCCCTGGCGTCGATAATATAAAACTGAGCGATTTGCGGCGCAATTTTCACGTTTTAAAAAATGTTATTCTCCACATACTAAATGGAATCATTCTCACCTGAGTTTTCCCTCTAAATTTTAAAAGCGCAATCGTAAGGCCCCTTTATAAGAATGGCGCACGCGGCGATGTAAAAAACTATCGTCCCATTTCTATTCTTCCGTGTTTGGCGTTGGTTCTGGAGAAACATATTTTAAAATCGATGAACGACTTTCTGGATAAATACAACCTTATATCGCCCAACCAATACGGTTTTATTGCCGGCCGCAGCACTCAATCCTTACTTGAGGACATGTCTGATATCTTGCACACGTCGTTCGACAATAATCAATTTACATGTGCCCTTTTTCTCGACGTATCCAAAGCATTTGATTCCATCAGTCACCAAATACTTTTAAACAAACTTTACAACTACGGATTTCGAGGTCCTTTCTTTTTGTTGCTTCAAAACTTTTTGACAGACAGATCGCAGCAGGTAATGGTTTGCAACGAAAAAAGTGCTAAGGTATTTCTCAAGTCAGGTGTACCGCAAGGGTCAGTTTTGTCCCCCCTGTTGTTTAATATCTACGTCAACGATCTCGCTAAATTACCATCAAGATGCTCAGTTTTTCAATACGCAGATGACACATTGCTGTTATCCACTCATGTCAGCCTGCGCAGTGCAATAAACACACTACAAATAAATTCTACGAAAGTCATGGACTGGTTTGAAACCAATCAAATCAGAGTGAATGTACGAAAAACAAAGCTTATTTGTTTCCGCAATCAACTTAAACGACAGTGCATCGACATCCCTTTTATATTACATTCCTCATCTTGTGTACCTTGCACCTGTACACCAATTCCATACCACAATACAGTCAAATACTTGGGACTTTTTTTCGATAGCGATCTCTCCTGGAACACACACCTTGATTATCTGGCTAAAAGACTACGAGGTGTATCTTGTCTGTTATACCATATAAAAACGTTCCTCCCAATCTCCGTCAGAAAGACAGTCGTGAATGCTCTTGCCTACGGAGTTCTTCGCTATGGGATTACTATCTTTGCCAACTGCTCAACGCTCTGGAGGACGAAAATTGACGCCATTCTGAGGAACATCGCGAAAAACGTTGCATATAATCCGAATCTAAACCAGGACGATGATATATTCTCTTATGTGGGCTTGCCGCGTTTTCTACCCCTTTTTCATAGATGTGTCATCCTAAGACATTATTGGCTCAGTCAATTTAAAATACCTCGAACTGTCCAGCGCTCTGTAAGAAACAGTGAACACTTTATAATTCCTCGTGTATACACTAAATATGGAAAATATGTTCGGTCGTATTATGTTCCTCGCATATTTAACAAATTACCAGATTTTCTTGATCAAATTGACTCTCAGCGTGTCCTAAAAAAACGCATAAAACAATTGTGCTAGTAGCAGCCCATTGAATTATACACGACTGAAATCTCTCTAGGATCGACAGGAGGCTAGTTATTGTTACCATGTGAGTGACTGTTCGACCATCAGCCTATATGCCCGTATGATGCTTAAGTGTATATATGTATTTAAGTGTATATTTACGTGTAGATCTAGGCATGCACGCCTATATGCGTTGCAGTGCACTCGATGTTGTATATATGCCCAAGTACTCATTTATTTGTGTGTGAAACCCGTGAAACAACTTTAAATTGTGTATATATGCCCAATTACTCATTTATTTGTGTGTATGAAACCCGTGAAACAACTTTAAATTGTGTATAACTGTCTTGTATTCGCGCCTGAGAACAATCAGTCTCATCACCACGGGGTCTAGTCGCACAAGCCGACCCTGGCCTCGACTGACCCGCCTCGTACGTGCTAAAGAAAGAACAAGCCGAATAAAATTATTATTATTATTATTATTGTTGTTGTTGTTGTTATTGTTGTTATTGTTGTTGTTGTTGTTCCTATTTATAGTTTTTATGCATAATTTGCAGTTTGTGTAAGTTTCGGTGTACCAACACCAAGGCCGTACGAATCTTTATTATTAATAATATTATTATTAATTTAATTCGCTCGAAAATAACTTTTCGCCCAAAACTAAACGTGTTCCTTTCCCGGGCAATGCTGGTGCGTGTCCCATCGCAGAAGCAGAAGCTGCAGCGGCTATGCATCCCCGAAAGCAGCCCGGAGGAGCCGAGCTGCCCGGGAACTCGGGGCACTTTCCCCGTCCTCGGCGCCGCTCGGGTGAAGTACGCGTGGCGCGGCCCGGGTATTTCGGGCTTGGCGGAAACCGACGCCGAATGCCCAGCAGCGTGAGAAATAGTGCCGTTGAACGACACCTACTTTTACTTCGAAGTTGCGGAATCTTGAACTCCGCCCCCGCCTTATGATGGACGGGAGCGGACGCCGCGAGCAATAGGAGTCAGTCTCGCGCCGAGAGAAAGTTTCAGAATGGTATGGGGGCCCTAACCACGGTGGCCCCAACGCTTCGAGTCCCCCAAAGCAGCCTTCGGGCGTCACACCGCGCATGAGCAGAACGTCTGCGCACAGACTGTGTGACCCCCCCCCCCTCTCCCAAACACACACACACACAAACATACACACACAAGCTGCTCGGGGGACCCATCGGGGCCCGCTATTCTGGAGTTCTCTAATAGGGAGTTTTCCTGCACCGTTTTTCGTGTTTCAAAAGTAGCGCAATGTTCGTCGATGCACGAGGCTCGTGCAACGTGCAGCCCTTGGGAAGATCATGGGGCACAGTGCAGCACTGAGCTAGATTTCAGACGCCATGAGTTTCCCAGAAGTGGCGCGAGGTACGTGCCTCGAGCATTTCTACAACAATGAATGAACGGCGCCACTTTTCCCAGGATAGAGGGGCTTTAGTCATTCGCCCTCCTGTGCGCCCTCTGCAACGAAGACGTCGCTGGTGCGCATGCGCGTCGCTAGTCTTGCCTGCAGAGTTGCGGATCTGGTAGCGGGTTGCAGAAGGCCGTTGTGGGACGGCGGAAACGATCTACAAAAACTTCCTAATGTCACGTGAACTTCCGGTGGAGTCACGTGTCACGGCCGTGCAGCGCTGAAGCGAAATTCACGGCACCTAGCGACGAGAACAGAAAGCTCTGGTGGGAGGTTAGCTCGCCAGCCTTCTTTAGCAAGTCAGACATCAACAACGCCTAAAGGTCTAAAAAAAAAAAAAAAACCAAAAGTAGGTTTAAAAAAAAAGAAAACGGGTGATGAAAATAGCCAGTTTGTATACGGTTCCGGAAAACACTCGCAGGGTAATTTCTTGTAAATTTTTATTTTTACGAAAAAAAAAGAAAAAAAGCCTCAAGAGTTGAACATAACAAAGTGCAAAAACTTATTTTTGTAAGTAAGTTTAGTCTGAGCACAGAGTCAGTGGTCTTGAGAAGGGCCCACCTCGGTTTCGCTTCAAAGAGGGGGTTTACCGTTTAGCTCGTCAAGGAATTCGGTCAAGACCACGGGCCATCTTACGTACTTCCGAGGCATTTATCCTGCTTGGCTATGTTCTATACTCCGTTTACACTAAAGCTGAAACAGCAGGCAATTCCACAACCACGAGAGCTCGAGGTCGCTGCTTTCAAGCGTTCTTCCGCAGAACGGACACTCGCGCTAGAGGTGCATGTCGCAAAGCCAAGAGCTTGGACTAGCTCGCGCTTGTAGTTTGGGCTGCAGTCTCAGCTTAAAGGTAAATAGAGTTTACACTTTTGCAAGTCCGGCCTCAGGGCGCCGCCATCTTGCTCATTGAGGTGCGCTTGGGCGCGTCATAATATGATGACGACGTCTCGCTACGGCGTTCTAATCGGATTATGGCCGTGCCGAAGTGCCCCCCGGCTGAGTAAGATGGCGGCGTGTTTTGCTGGGTCGCAACAGAAGCCACTGTTCCAGATTCCAGTTTTGACAATGCTATTTGTGCGGCTTAGGAAGAGGAGGGGTCGCGTTTTTATAACAGTGAAAGCTATGAACCCGTAGGTCTCATCAGTGTCGTCACTAGGGCCAGCGGCACTTGGAGGGTGCAAGTATACCCACCGCAGCGTCGAAACAGCTGGTGTTGGCAAAACAAGATAACGCCATATCTATACGGCACGACAAGCAGGCAAAGTGTCTGAAAGCTTCTCGCAAGAACTGTGAAGGTAGGCGCCCACGTTTGTCTGCGATTGCCGAGCTTTTAGAGCGTCTTTGTTGGTTCGCACCGTTTAGTCGTCGACACTTCGTGCGAGACCCAAGCAAAGCTGCCTTGGTCCGCGATATCAGAGCCCGGTATTGAGAGACGGTCCCCGCTGCGGGACGGGCACGCATGTGCCCGCAATTGCGAGCAATGGCGCCTCCTCTGTCGGCGGCGGCTTTGTTGGCGGACGAAGTCTGTCGAGACTGGGGACGTCACTTACTCGGGTAGTATTTCTCGATGGAATTCTCCTTGGGATCATTGCCTCCGAGCGCTTCGGCGAGGCTGTTCCTGCCGTTGGACGCATCCGCCGCCTCTTCGTATTGCACGCAGAGCGCGTACGCGATGATGAACGCCACCTGCGATGCGCATCAAATAGGAAATGGTGCCATGGCATTGCGTATCTGCACTGTCAGGTATTTTCTATCGCGATAACTTAAAAAAAAATGTTGAATTTAAAGCTGCTTATCTCTTTGTTGTTGAAGGCCCATTTACGTATGATATACGCTGCCTTCGTGGCTTCAGTACGAACCTTTCGCCAACTATATTTCCTAAGGCAATGCGCGCCACAAAGGCATCCTAGCATTTTTTTTTCTCTTTCTCAAAAGACTGCGATGCAGATTAATTAAAGTGACAAAACGGTCACCGAAATGCGGGGTCGCTAGAGTTTCCATACCTGCTGAGTCTGTTCATAATTAAAAAAAAAAAAAGAAAGAAAAACGCAGAGCTTGTCTAAGTGCGCAGCTCACAGATTCATCGACAACAAAACAAATTCTGGCTACGAAAAACAAAAACGGAACAACAAACACTAAACCATCGTTATAACGAACGACACGATAAAGATGAAGAATTCGGTCACATCGAAAGGATACATGATTGCTCGACTCGAAACTATGCGAATAGTGGTTCGAATCGAACAGTGCTGCGTCATTTATCACCTTCAAAGTGCTAGGATGACTACGACCACAACGGCACAACGGCTCTCTCTGCGGTGTTCAAGCTAGAAGGGATGACCGCTGCCCTCTTCGATTCTTCCGAAGCGGTATTCGCACAACCCTACAACTCGAAACACGAAACATTTACTATATTAAACGTACACTGTAAACATACACTCTAAGAAATCTGGTGCGACAACTTTCCCGTAAAACAATTGGAATAACCAGTCATCGCGATCGACGTCAGTGAATGACGAGGCCAAAAAAAATGTGTTCAGACACACACACACACATACACAGGCACGTAGCCAGGATTTTGTTTCGGGGGGTGGGGGGGGGGGGGGGGGGGGGGGGGGGGCCCGCTCCTGACAAAATGCTGTATGAAAGGGAGGTGGGAGAGGAGGTCCCAGCAAAATGGAAAATTTCGGGGGGGGGGGGGGGGCGGGCCTCATGGACCTCCCCCCTAGCTACGTGCCTACACACGAAATAAACAATCTGCGCTGTGGTAGTGAGCATAACGTTAAAATATAAAATATCATTGTTCAGTATCACAGCGCAGGCTGTTGTTCTAAGGCAAAACATATTTTCAACATCGTCATTGACCCAGCTTTATCTGTAGACTGCAGAGGTTGGCTTTCCGAATTGTTTTGTGGGAAGGTAGACAAACTAGATTTTGTTTTGTAGCGTAGAATGTTTGACGGGGAAAAGCGAAAGAAGGTTCGTTTTCAATCCAAGCATCAATTCAACAAAATATGCTGGAGTTTAATTCTGAGAACAGGCGAGGCATATTTTCATATCTACTTTCTTAGGGAGATTACGTCATCGCGGAACCCGAAACGTATGAGCTAATAAAAAATGTTTCTTAAAGAAAAGAAACAAAGTAAATTGAAATTTGAACTACTGACTAAGATAGATCTCGCTTGTATGGTTTTATCCCTACATCTTGTCCAACTTTTTTTTGTATTTATTTTTATCATTTTTTTATTTCGGCTTTAACTTACAAAATGCCTCAGCCTCAATGTCACTCACTTGTCTTTAAGTATACCTTTGAGCGTGAGATTTGACTCACCGGAAGGGCTTTCCAAGCGCTCTGGTATCAAAATGCGGAGTTCAAGCACGAGACACTGATTCGGTGTTTATTTTTGTTCCCGGGCATTTCGGTCAACAGAAGCACTCCAGCTATCACTAAAAGCCCGATAGTTCAACGTCCTCTTTCGCGAAACGCCTGAGATTCGGAGGACGATGTTCACATACGTACGACTGTTTCTTCGTGAGCTACGTTTTGTTTTTCTTTTTTGTGAAGTATATTTTAAATTTCGCTTGCGTGATATGAGATCCTTACTGTGAATATCTTCCAAAATAAACTAGAAAAGCTTTGGAATCAGGAGGCGCACTTTGTTTCCAATAACTATGGCCCTATGCCAAACTGTCCACGCGGCTTAAAAAAAACAAAAAAACGCGCTTGCACACAAGCTTTTTTTTTATATTTTTCATCAATACTGAAAGTAAATGAACAGCAAATTGTTTGGAGTCATCTTAAGTCTCTTCTTGTTATGGTAATTAAAAGAAAACAAAAAAAAATCTTTTTATATGTATAGCTACAGACAAAATGCTTTTCGAATCCATTCTTTGTTAAGACGTCCAGAGAGCAGAATAACCTTCTGGAAAAGGTTGTGTCCATTGATGATATTGACGATTTCTTTTCCCCATGGTCAGAATACATCGAATAACCCCTTAGAATAATTCTTACGAGACAATGTAGGTGCGCGCTAAATCTATAAAAAAAATATACTCCCCAACGCTAAGTAAATGAGAATTAACGTTCAGAGGCCATGACACTCGCGAATGCCGTATAATGATGTTACTACTCTCGCTCTGACTTTCTGGACACGACTTCTCTGTTATGGTGTTATTTGTATGGGCAGTTTATGATCGCGTTACAACTTATAATGAACCGTGACTCATTTTATTAGTATTTTTTACTGAATTAGTTGAAACTATTTTTAACAGTGTTTAACTCAGTGATATGAGCAACTGGACGGAGCCTTTTAAGCATTCCGAATTCACCAGTTTGCTTTCAATCTCCGCTCGCTGTAGATAAAAAGACCTCGCCTCTAGACAATAACTCGCAATAATAAACACACAATAAAGTTGACTTTTGTAAAAGAAAAATAATAGGCCTGCAAACAAGCCTCGATCATGCTTCTTAGTGTTTTCCTTCATTTATGCTTTTTTTTTCTTCTTTTTTAAGCGCACTGGCGGAACTAAACGCTATTATTATACACCCATCATTGAAACGAAGGTCAATCATCATATTTTTTCCCAGCGATTCAGTCTCTTGTTTAAAATCTATCAATGTAAAACCACAAGCTCTTATTTCTTTTGTCCCCAAGACTTTTTTTTAAAAGTTGTGGTCCTTTGTACGTATTTAGAGTCACCGTCTTAGATCCGACACAAAAGCTGTATACAGCATTTATATATAAACATATATATATATATGTAAAAAACACACGAGTGGAGAGTAGATAAAAGTGACCCACCTGAACCACCAGGAGCGCCATACCGAGTTTGCCTCGCTTCCACATGGCAGAGGTTCGTGGTCCCGGTCGCAGTTCAGCAAAAACTTCTCGCAGCGAGTGCCGAACTCCGTCGGAGAAGGATAACCGCGCGCACGTCGTCAGTGGAGAACCCAATAGCGGGCATCGGATTCGGAGTCCCGTTCCCTCGCTACCCGCCTGGGCTTCACGGACAGGCCGCAGGCCGCGCGATCAGGACGACATCTGTTGCTCTATTCCGACACTGCGCTCGTATCCACCCGTGCCGATGTTCGTGCATACGCAGGACACGGACGCCTGACTGAGGACGGCCTGCTGAATGGCTCTTTGTACCGCGGGAAAACGAAAGTTTTCAAAGCGGCCGCGGTGAGCAGTATTGAGCGTAGTGGCGCTGACCAGCGGTCACGGTCACCACGGTAGCTGACGGTGGCCCAATCAACGCAAAATCGTTGCTTCTGTTCGCTGGGACACCCTTCCAGCGACGAGCTCAGGAAACTCAGCTGGGCCACTGTTCGGTGGCAATCAGTTCGTCGAACAACGTTTCGGCGACAGTTCGTTCCATCGAAAGGTTCCCTGCGTTCCTTTCGCCGACACACCTTCCGATGAAAACGTGGTTTTCCGCGCACATCGGCTCGGTCGCTGGCATCCGGATGGTAGCTATAGCTTACCGAACCCATGGCGGTTCCGATGAGTCCTGGTAAAACTCGGGCCTGACATTCTATTAAAGTATTTCCGGGCGGAACGAAGGGTGTCTGCGCGTAGCGTGGACTGTTTTGGAAGTTTAATGACGGGTTTACACTTGCGATTTCGCGGGCGGATCCGCGCGGGCAGAAAGTGGATTTCGGAGCCGGATGGCGAAATTGACTTGACGCTGGCGGAAAATCTGGTCAGTCCGGGAACGTGTCCAGATTTTCCGCCAGCGACGAGTCGATTTCGCTACCCGGCTCCAAAATCTACATTCGGCCCGTGCGGATCCGCCCGCGAATCCGCAAATGTCAACGCGCCGTGAGATTACAACTCGCGACTTCGTTTTTGCCTCATCGGAGATGTCTGGCCCAGTTCGCTCCAAAACTTACGCTGTGCTTGCAGAGAAAAAAAAAAAAAAACCAGTAATGCAATCAAATCCACTAAGTTAAAAAAAAAGAGAGATATATGTAGCGACAAAACGTCGTCGGAGCATGTGTCCATGATATAAATTTCCACGAAACATCGCAATGTCGACGAAACGTGTGTCTATGAAAAGTTGTCCACGAAACGTGTTTCAGCGAAACGATAAAAACCGGTTTCTATGTATTTCCTGGTGAAATGGCAGGCGGTAGCGAGGCGGCAGATATCAAGCGTGTATGAGCAAGATATGGGACGAAAAACGTTGGGGAGCAAACGCCTAGAACAGCCGTTATTTCGAATAAAACGCACCGTGGGGAGACAGAGGACATGTAGCATTTTCAGGAACACACGAATCTCGCCAAGCGTTCTGCGCATGCGTGACGCCGCCATAACTATAGTTCGCATGGGGCATGGCGTCAGAGCACGAGGCAGCTCGTGACTCGTGCAGATCTGCTCGCGCAGACCCTTATGGGATTGTCGCGCAAGCAGAAAGACTACAGTTCCCGCGATGCTTGACGGCAGCGGTGGCGGAATAAAGCTGCCTGTGATATCGGTCTATTAAGGATTTTAAGACATATACTTTTATCTTCAGAGCTCCCAACAAGAATTCGCTCGTCGTTGTTGTGGTCAGCACCTGTAGGCATACCGGTAGGTTGCTTATGTATGCGGAATGTTCCGTACTATCGTGTTATCTAAGTTAAAGCTGATGAAGAATGGCCGCGTCAGAACAAAACCATGAGCCATTCCACTCTGTGAAGGTGGAGGCCCAGCGAAGCTGTTTAGCACACGACACAGGGTTGACACAGAATTTTGAACAAAGGTACGAACACATTTATTGTTTTCTGGATCGGTGTTCATTACTTCGCGTGGACGACTATCGCCGCCCCGTGGAGCCGGAGGAAACTAGACACGCGCGGCGGGATGGCCACCCCGGGAGAGAAGAAGGAAAGGAAACTAGGGACGCAACCTGTTTGGAACGACGACAGAGAGAGGGCGGTGCGAGCGTAGACATGGCCGACGCGGGTCGCACAGCGGCAAATCTTTGAGAAACCTTTACTATCTACCGGAGAGTACACTGATCTTGAAAATGGTGCTTATTGATAACCAACCTACTGAATAGACCTATTGCTAAATTACCCAAACATCAAGGAGGATGCAGGGAATAGTGTTCCGCGCTCCGCACGTGGCGGCGCCTATAGCAGTAACTGTCCTAAACCAAAAGCCTAAAACAAATGGCGTCTTGCACGCGCGTTCGTCCCCGCTTTATTTTGGTTATTTACTTCGAATCTTTTATACGTGGAAGGGGTGCGCGTATGGCGCGAATGGCGGTGCGAGCGTAGAGTTTTTGTTGACGCATATGAAAAATCCACGGAACCCCAACCATAATTAGCTTCGCTGTAAAAAAAAAAAAAAAAAAAAAAACATTGTTGTAGGTTAACTAGCGGATCGATTTGTGGAAAATGTGTAACTTATCAATTATGTCAGCGAAATTTGGGTGGGGGAAGGAGGAGGACGAGGAGGAGGGGGAGGTGGGGCAGGAGAAGAGATAAAGAGAATAGTGAAGATTTTATCTTCAAATCAGCTGAGGACTTGGCTAATTAACTTTTTTTAATCAGTAATCAATGGTAGTTAAAGCCATCATGTTTTTTGTTTGTGTGTGTATAGGTGCGCGCGTACCCGTGTGCGGGTGCTTATGAGTGGTTTGTGTGCGACTGTGCGTGTGTATGTGCGTGAGTGTGCGTCTTTTTGTCAGAAAACAATTTATCGAGAGCTGATTGTAATACAGTAAGTGCCTATTTATGTTTGAACGAAATATAGTATTTAGCTACAATGTCTCTGCTATGCTTTTGAGCTATCGTAGCTCCGTGTAATGTTAGGATGTGGACGCCCACGCTGTTTCTCGTAAGTGCAGCTGGGGAGTTTTACGCATTTTGGGGTTGGCATCGAAAACGAACATTCGACAAAAACAAGTGATTCAATCAGGAAGTTGGTAAGAAAATATATTGGTAATCATTTGCAACGTCGAGTTTGTGTTCGCATTTTTTTTAGTCGAATATCGTTTGATTATACGCCCCGTTAGCTCGAGTATTTTACCTGATGTCGGTCAACGATTTCAGCGCTTAAGCAGCCGCTAGGAACGATGCAAACAGAGTTAGGATTTTTTAGACATACTCTGATAATCATGCACCGAATGAAATAAAGCTGCTACGTAACACTTCATAAATACCTATCATTATCGAAAATTTATTTGACTCTGATATAGCGGAATGTCAGAAAATAGGAGACGTTTTGACAAGAAATGAACGCATTTGTCAAAAAAAATTATGTGTATTTCCCGCCAATAATTTATGAGGGAAAGGTTGAGCTAAGTTTATAGAATAGCTGGGTGTCCAAATTTTTTGGAAATGAACATTTGTTCACCGGTTTAAATATTTTACTCCTTGGGTGAGCGGATGCTTTAGTCCTGTATCTAATAGTTACCTCAAACGCCACATAGACTTGAAAATAATTTATTGTCTCTAATGACGAGGCTAATGCTCTTGGAGAACGTTCAATACGGTCGCTGTTTCGTGAACCTTGCGTGCACCCACCCGCTTTAGAAGAAACTCGCTCCTTTTTTTCTCCGTTGAGCGCACAAAAAAAAAAAAGTTTCGATTTTGCGAAAGGAGTTTTGAAAATGGTGAAGCCCAGGCGCCTCTTTAACACAGACGATACCTCTCCACTCGGATACCGATATGGGAAAAATCATTTTGAAGTCCGTTTCACATCCCTTATCTCTACTATAGGTGACTGGACGGCGCATAGCTGTTCTCCGAGCCTGGCGCAAGTGAAACCACCGGAGGTTCGATGCTCGTCCCAGAAGTTCGATGCTCGTCCCAGAAGTCCAGCCTGTGCTGGGCTTCCTAGTGCTTTCAGTCGATATTTTGGTCCAAGCTTTCTTATGTCTTTGAGGGGACTCCCTTTCCGCACGTGCAATAGGGGGCAGCGGGGCGCCGCGAAGCGGCGTGTACGCGTGGGCCAAGTGTGTTCATATTTTTTTTTTAATCATCCATCCGCAGACTGTCGTCGCGAAGTGGCATAAACGGGGGAGGGCCCCAGCGACACACCCGCCGTCACCAACTCTGAATATGGCGACCCGTCTTTGAGTGGGCGAGGGCAAGAAAGGCTGGGGAGGTGGAGGCAGATGGATTGCTGGAGACGATTGGGGGGAACGTCCCCCTCGCTCCAGCATCCGCCTGCTTCCTCCTCTCCTAGCGTTCCTTTCCCTCGCCATGAACTCCTAACCTGTCGCAGACTATAGACCTTTTCTTCAACGGCGCCGCCATCTTGAGAATTGCGGCGCCGACGACGCCGTCTAGCGGCTTAGAAAAAGAAATACCGGCTAGTTCTGGCAGCACAGCTATCTGGGTAGGCAACGGTGTGGCTATGGGGGGAACTTGGCTAGACTTGGCTATGGTGGGCTGCAATAATTTGGTTGGAGCTTGTCCGGTTGAATCCAGCTGGCTACTCCCAGGCCTCCTCGAGAGAACGAGGACGAAGACGGTGGGGTGTTTTGATTGAGCTTCCACAGCGAAGTATATATGAGCACTTTAATGTAGTCTATGCAGGTAAGCTCTCGACATTTGATAGCTCCATCTTGAGTGGTGGCATGTAGACTTTTTCATACCTTTCACATACCATGGGGCTTGCAGTGATAACCTAATTGGACCACCTGCACCGGGAATTAAAATTGGTCCTCTTGTCGTAGACGAAGTGGTCGTGAGCTTAAGCGTGACGTTGATTCTGATACGAATCTCTCGCGATTCAAGCTCGCAATCGACTGACTTCATAAATAAGGATTCTTGGGGAAAATGCGAAGCTCCATAACACTGCAGCCACACTCGCGCTGCAGCTTCTTGTGCTCATGACACACTAGCTGCTAGTGTTATGCTTTTTAAAATTATTTATCCATTGA